TAGTAAAGAGTTTTTATAGAATATAGACTTCTTGAGCGATCTAAAAAGCAAAATGAATACTTTAGTACCCAGGGTACTAAAAAAGTGTCCCAGAACTCCCTTTTTCGCCTACTCCTTTGAACAAGCAGCAAACTTACATACAGGATTGCAGTTTGAATACTAGGATCATGTTAATTTAGTTTTATTAGCTTATGGACAAAAAGAAGAATTTGCATGGCGAATTCAGGATAAAAAACTAGATAAAAATAGTGGGGTTTATAAGTATATATTTGAATGTCAACATGCTGGAAACTATCAATCAAAGAAAAAAGCAACTGATCCTTCACAACAATGTAACCGGAAGTCTGTCAAGACAGGTTGTACCTGTTTTATTAATATTTGTTGACCATTAAGTGCGTCGGGTCCATCAATAACTAAATTGAATCTTACTCATCATGGTTATACACTTTGTCCTGATAATGCACACTTTATTAATGTATATCAGCAACTTCCTCAAAACATAATCAATAAGATTAGATTTTATATAAAAGCAGTTCCCGATATTAGTCAACATACTTTAAGACAACTTCTACAAGTTGAATTCGAGAACTAATTGTTTCTTGATAAAGATTTAGCCAACGTGATTCAACATTTTAGAAAGGGTGATATAACAGATCCAGAGAAGGATCCTGAAAATGATGTATCTAATCTTTTAAAAGCTTTGAGAACGTTTAAAGAAGAAGACCCAACATGGTTTATAGCAGATTATTGTGTTAACAACCATCTTTATCATTTATTCTGAATGACGCCTCATCAGCGAAATCTATATTTAAAACATAATGATGTAATTTTAATAGACAATACAGCACGGACGAATAAATATCAATTGGCTTTGTATTTATTTATAGGTGTTAATGAGCATTGACATTCAAGGGTATTAGCCCAAGCATTAATGTTTGATGAAACGACTTCATTATACACCTGGGTTCTCAATAATATTATAGTAGCAATAGACAATTTACTCCATTATCAATTTTTTCTGATTGTGATACTGGGTTAGAACTAGCTATTGAAGCCACTTTATAATACTTATATTGCATTTTCCATATTATTCAAAACATTAAAAAACAGTTGGCATGTTCTCTTGGCTCTTAATATATTGAATTTTTGGCTAAATTTTTGGCCCGTCAAAATATGTTATTTGAAGAAGTTTTTGAACAGAGATTTGAATCTTTGTGTACTAAATATATTAAAGCATCTTCATATTTAAGAAACAACCTATACCCGATTAAACACGATGGGCTAAATGCTTTATGTTTTAGGTAAAAATATAATAAGTTTAAGAATTGAGTTAGTTAAGGTTAGGGTGAGCATTAGTTAAAGGTTAGGATGAGTGTTAGTTAGAAATTAGAGTGAGTGTTAGTTAAAAATTAGGGTGAGTGTTAGTTAGAGGTTAGGGTGAGCACTAGTTAGAGGTTAGGGTGAGCGTTAGTTAGAGATTAGGGTGAGTGTTAGTTAGAGGTTAGGGTAAGTGTTAGTTAGAGGTTAGAGTAAGTGCTAGTTAGAGGTTAGGGTTAGTGTTTTTAGAGTTATATAATTTATATTCATCTTGGTTTACTTTTATTTTTTAATCAGGATTTTAATACCGGAATGTCTTCAACCCAATATGTGAAATTGATTAATGCAGTAATTCATAAATATGTCAATTCACATTCATCATTGATGGGATTTTTTAATGGAATACAAGCTATGTTAGCTTCTGAACTTCAAAAAGCAAAATATAGAGATTATTTAGAAAGTTTACCTTACAATGTTGGGTCATCAGCATCAATCCGGGTTTTTCCAAAGCTCATAGAATATTTGAAATTGGCTTTAACAAATGAAATATTTCAAATCCAAAAAGCTCAGATTGATATTTGTTTCAAATATAATGCATTACCAATTCCTTTTGAGCAATTTTCTTTATATGACAATATAGGTTTTGATTTTTTTACTTTACTTTGAAAGATAAAAAATTTATAAAATACTACTGTATGTTATTTAACTTTAGGCTGATATTGTTGATAATGCCACTTGTATTGAAGACGATTCAGACAAAAGACAAGTTGCTCTTAAATCACTTATTAGACATGTTGATCCTAACAATATAATTGAACTTTGGGAAGTTAGACATATGAATGTTAATACAGTTTTAATGAACTGTATTGTATTGCTTAAGAACCAATCACATGTTTGTACATATTTGCTTTTGTTTAGTGAAGAACTTGTCTGTTGTCACTTTTTTCAGGTTATGTTAAAAACATCAAAGGCGAAATTTTCTATTGCTTTAATAAAGAATTGATAATACAAAAAAAGTGCCGATTTACATAAAGTTAATACTTTATTTGATTCTTGTGGTATATCAGACTCTTCTGAGAAATTGTTTACAAATAATGAAATACAAGCTTCATTCTCAACTATGAATACAATATGAAATCTTAGAATGGACGATTTAAATAATTGTGATAAAATTGAACATAAAATTTCAAAGCAAGAAGTTTATGGTGAATGTGCAGCATTGGGATGAAAATTAATAGCATACCAAGACTTGTTCCAGTGATACATATACTTGTCGAAATTGTCTTAACGATGGTCATAATACAAGAAGTTGTATGGCGCCATGTAAAACTTGTAATAAAAGCGGCCACACTTATTTAAAATGTCCAAATAAGAAAATTGTCTAAATTTTAGTATTTATTATATGCCAATGTTAATGTTGTTTACTAATTGCTACAAAGGCAAATTTTATACTATATATGTTTACATAGTTGCATTTTTAACATATTAATGCTGCAAAGAAAAGTCTTCTCTTTTATTGCGTATATAACTTTAAGATTGCTGTGAATCAGATCAAAAAATACAATCGATTAGTTAATTAATCGATTAATCAATTAGTCAATTAACTGATTAATCGATTAGTTATTAATCGATTAATTGACTAATCGAAATCGAATAACCAATTGATTAATCACATTATTGGGCAAAAATTTGTGAATAACGGCAATTTGGCTCAACTGGGCAAATGATATTGGCTGACAAGCACCGCAAAGCGGCGCTTGTCAGCCAATATCATTTGTTTGGTTGAGCCAAATTGCCATTATTCACAAATTTTTGCCACTTCACGATACTTGTTAGGTATAAGTGATCCTTTATTTAATATTAGGTGTGATGATTTACATGTGATAAATAACGCAATATATATAAATTAGTTTGTTTCTTATTGGTAATTATAATTTATCATGGCCTATAATTTAACACACCCTGTATAACAATTTACTGTGTGACAAATAACAGATAACTAGTTTAAATTAATAGCTTTTATTATTTAGTCACTATTCATCACCCCACAATTGGTCACACCAAAACATCATGTATTAACAAAATAATCATATATACAATGGGATGGTATTTAGTAATATTATCCTGGATGATACTTAGAATCGTTCTATTTTATTAAATAAATTAAAAAAAGTATTTTTATATATAAATTTGGGTGAGTCAACTTATTTGATTTATATTTGACAATATTTTAAACCTCTGTAAGGGGACATGTCTCATACCTAATATATAAAACTACTATAAACTTTAAGCTTCAGATTATTTTTAACTTACATATTAACTAAATTTCAAATTTAAAATTAAGTATATTGAAAGAATAAATGCTCGTCCCGCAGGGTGCAAAGCAATTAAATCTAGCATAGCATATTGATCTGTAAGGTGGGAAGCAATTAAATCTAGCATAGCATACTAATATAAAATCGGATTGGCTAAAACTGTATAATTTACATATTTGGTAATAGAGTGAGATATTACAGTATCACATTTCTTAATTTATTAAAAAATAAATCATGGCGAATAAACAAAGATCGCTAGAATTATTAATTGCACTGTGAAACAAAACAATTGCAATTCATATTACTGCACTATAAAAAACAAATCGCATTATATATATAAAAATTGCTAATCACATTGTATATATAAAAATTGCTAATCGTATCGTGAAACAAAATCCAAAAATCACCTTGTGAAAAAAAGCCCTAAAAGTATATTGTTAAACAAATCATCCCCACAAAAAATGCTATAAACATATTGTGAAACAAGCAAGCTCAAAATGCATATACCATCAAATTTATCTGCAGAACAATATTAAAGCTTCCTCAAAACAAGCCCACTTGACCTTATTCATAGCGATATTAGCAAGTTGGTTAAAAAATTTCAAAATTTCATAAGCAACACAGGTGAACATAGAACATAGTAAAAGTAATACAACACAGGTGAAAAACATAGAATATAATGAAAATAGCGAAAATAGTAAGCACTTAAAGCATGTAAATACAAGCTTGTATACATAAACTAATAGGTTTACCTCAGTAGATCTAATTATAATTGCTTCTGAAGATATTTCTAAAAGCATTAATTTCACTATATGAAATGAAGTAGAGGACTACCTTAATGACTACAGTGCTAGAAATAGTTTTGCAATAACTAAATATCAGGTAGAAAAAAGCAATTCAGGTTAAATACATAAAAGAACCTTTGTCTGTGAATTTTCTAGAAAGTATAAGTCTAAAAAAAACTAGAAGCAGCTTTAAATAGAATACAAAGAAATATAAAAACAAAAAAAACAAATTGCCTGTAGCACATCAACTTATCTTTATCAGGAGCTTCGCAAATTTTAATCACGACATATGTTAATAAATATAATTATGTCCTTGTTCCTGAAACACGAGAATTTAGTGTAAAATATAGATCGTTAACTCAAGTAGCAATTGACGAAATTAAACTTATAACAAAAAATGGTAATTTGTCACTTGCTGCACAAAAACGTCTTCTAAAGGCTTGATTTCCAGACCTAAATTTTCAAGATTAGGATTTGGCGAATACAATTCAAAAAGTAAAAAAGACAGCTGAAGTCAGTAATGATGTATCAATTTTGCTTACTTTTTTAATGCAAAAAAAACTAGAGGACCCACGTTGGGTTGTTGATTTTGAACTGGACCAAGATAATTGCTTAGTTCGTCTCCTTTAGATATCTCCAGGCCAGGTTGATCTTTGGCTTAAGTACTATGATGTCATTGTCAATGACAACATGGCAAAAACTAATCAGTACCAAATGCTATTAGGAATTTTCGTAGTAATTGATAATAAATACAAAACTCATCTCATCTGCCAAGTATTGATGAGTAACAAAACTGTTGATATACACATTTGGATACTTGAGCATGTCAAAAAAGCCACAAGCAAAGCTTCAATAGTTATGTTTACAGATACAGATCCCACACTTGATACAACTATTCCAATTGTTTTTCTTGAAACATATTCGGCCCATTGTATCTTTCATATCACACAAAATTTATCCAAAAACCTAAAAGTGAAGGTGGGCAATAATTGGAATAATTTCATAAAACAGTTTTATAAGTGTCTTAATAGTTTACGCGAGCCTTTATTTAAAAAAAGATGGAACAAATTACTTACCAATTTTCTAATAGCAAAAGATTATTTTTTATATATATTGGATCCAAAATGTTGTCCATGGGCTCATGCCTATCTTCACAGAGTATTTATGGCAGGTGTTGAAAGCACATCAAGAGTTAAAAGCTACAATTGGGTCATCAAACAACAATTAAAAGCAAACAGTATTCTATGTGAGTTTGCTAATCGACTCGACACAAGATTAAAAGAAGAAGTACAATAAAGCCAGTTTCATAATTATAAACAAACAATTATGACGAATATTATTTCTATTGCTAGACAAGATTTGTTCTCTGAAATAGTAAAAGTTATCAATGAACATCTTACTGAACCTATTACTAACACAACAAAAATAGAAATATCACAATATCTATTTATCAATACAAAAAAGATCGAACCTACTATTGAAGAGTTACATAGTGAACAGGTATATATATAATTTTTTTTTTTTTTTTGATCATAAAATTCAAGCTTATCTAACCTTGTATTATAAGGAAAATAATCAACTAGTATACAATAGATTTATCGAAGACCAATATGATACACGTCTTATTATGCTACAGGCACTTATTAATGAAATAGGATGAGAAGATGTATCAGAAATATAGAAAATTATGGATATAAGAAGTGAAAAAAAACACCATGTCCATTTTGTTGTAGTTAATGTAGTATCTTTCTTATGCTCATGTCTAATGTCAATCTCAAAAGAAATCATATGTAGATATTATTTTAGAGTGATGATGTACTTAAAAATCGCAGTATTCCACATCAGCATGATACCTAAGAGATGATATAAAGATCATTATCAAGACAACTCCATTTCAGAAAGTCCAATATTTAATTATAAAATGTGTATTTTCAATAACAAGAATATCTTACCTATAAGGGTGTGGCGATTTAGTGAAGTGGTGAAGTTACCACACCCCCAAATGGCAGGTCTAGAGTTCGAATCCCATGGATGACAATTTTGAAAAAACTAGAACTGTATCAGTTAATGTTAAGATTATTGGTTGGATCCAGATATCTGTAATCTTGGTCACACCATCTTGAATGGGAGCTTTGGCACAATAAAATCCAGAAAACCAGAATTACTAAAAACCCGTTTGGCAAGTCCCAAGTTAGGAGTAGTAGTGATCTTTGACGGTGCTACAGGAAGACTGAATTTGGAACCAGAAACTGAGACCGGAGAACTGAGCGACCAGGTTCTTAAGTGGGTGGACACACTAGCCGAACTACCGGCTTGCCACCGGAGGAAAGGACTTGTGCTCCAGAAGCATGTACTAAGAGGAGAGAGACCATAAGGCACCTAGAGCCTGGGCAAACCAACCCTTCCGGGTTGCTAGCTGGAAGTAAGGGAGAGACCGATAAGGAATCCGGGAAAGAAGAAAGTTAGAACATGAGTACTAGGGTTGTTGTGAATCTTGCAAGGGCAGGAGTATATAAGTGGAAACTAATTAAGAAGGTTGTAGCTTGAGATACGAATCAGGTTATAGCAGTATCTGAAATGATAGCTTGAGATACGGACTAGGGACCTCAGTTTCATGCGATGCGATGCGATGCACATAATTGGCCAATTTTTGGCATAGCATATGCGAAGCATAATTTAACAAAAATCGTATAATTATAATTGGTGCTGTTGATTGGTCGAATTTTAAATCATTTGATTGTCATTTTTTTTATCAAATATTAAATTCTTTTAAAAAGATATACAGTGCAATGGATGTATAATTTTAAACTAGCAACTTGTAGCATCAGCTAGTGGTTTTCCCACCCTTGTCCCTAGCAATTATGGTTATGTTAGTAGTTATGACATAATATCCTAAACCAGTAACTCATTAAATTAATTACTTATCTTAAATTCTTCAGGTTACTAACACCAATTTTTGATCTGTCGATTTGAAATAGTTTTTTTACTAAACCAGTAATTCATTAAATTAATTACTTATCTTAAATTCTTCAGGT